TTTCGGTAAATTACTCTTTGCCTCGTAGATGATTTTAAAGGCGGAGGCTATAGAGATAGGGTGATCTTTATCGATCAGATGTTCAATGATCGCGCTTCTTATTGCTCCACTTCCACCTCTTCGTGACCATGCAGGATAGTGTCCTTGCACCCTCTTGGATAAAACTCGAGTCGAACGACCGATATACCTAGCTTCACACGAGCAGGTGAATTGATAAATACACATAGAGTTGGTCAATAGAGGAATCTTGCCCTTCAGGCTACTGAACAGTAATGGTCTGCTAGTAAAGGCTATTTTCAGAGATGCAGCAGGGAATAATCTTTTCAGGGACCGTGTTATCCTTCGTTTCATGATATCGGAAGCTAAGTCCCTTTTGAATTCCAAGCTCATGTAAAGTATTTTCTTGGGTGCGGTTGATAAGTCACGTTTTGTAGGCTTTGAATGTATATTCTTATCTATAAAACGTGGTGGAAATCCATTTTCCATTAGGATTTTCCTCAAAATGCATAACTCATCTTCCAAAGTATCAGTACTATATATGCGCCGAATACGAGTGGCAAGCGACTGGACCAGGTTTCGTTTTCGACCAATGGGTACCCAGCTGTAGAAATTTATCAGTTGACCATTCCATGACAGCTTACGATAAATCTATCTCTTCAGAGTTCCATCGATCCCCTTGATAAGTTCACATCGAGGAAATGAATGCTGGACTCGTTCTCCATTTCGAATGTGAATTTTATCGCAGAATGGCAACCATTAAATACATTTAGTATATTATTCAAATTGCAATCACTATTACAAATAATGAAGGTGTTATCAACATACCTTTTATACATTTGAAAGCTTTGGATTATAGACTTCAGCTGACCATTTTCTAGACTGGACATAAAACAGTCTGCAAGGAGAGGACCCAAGAGAGAACCCATCGCAATACCATCCTTCTATTTGTAGATTGTTTCATTGAAAGTAAACTGTACATTCAATGTACATCTCAAAAGTAGTTCTTTAATGTCTGTAGTTGGTATCCCTATATTCAATTTGTTGTCTTCAATATATCTGCATATAAAACATATGGTCTCTCTCAGTGGAACATTCGTAAATAGGGATTCTACATCCAGAGACAACATATGTTTATTCGACGCATTTATATCCTGTATACATTCAACAAATTGGAAGGTGTCCCAAAGGGAATAATTAGATAGTTGCCCCCTGACAGGTTTAAGGATTTCAGCTAACCACCCAGCTACTGGATGATAGGGCGATCCAGACATATCCAAGATAGGGTGAAGTGGAAGGCCAGCTTTATGTATTTTCGGTAGACCATAAAGTCTTGGTATTAGAGATCCTGTTGGTCTGATCTTTTCGCACAATTCTTCACGAATAAGATGGCTGTTCTTCATTCTCATTAAAGTTTTCGGTACATTGTTTCTCAATTGATTCCGTCTTGCTTTTCTCATTCCGTTTCGAGAATTTACTGCTGTCTGTAGTGGAGTACACTTTAGACTTTTCCAGTAATTACAAGTTGGATTGCATAATAGGTTCTACTGATGACCGAGTTTAGTCTCTATCTTAAAATCCTACTATTCACTTCCCCATTACTGAATTGTAATTTAATGAAAATATCCTTCTTAGGGACAGAATAGACTGCTGGTTTAAAAATTAAATGACTGCCACACTGGCTTGAAAAATTTCGAAGGATACCCATTTTCAACTACAATATCCATGATGATATTTTATTTAATACAATTAGTTCCCTTTATGGATTTAGATAAAGCAATAAGAAGACGTAATTTGTCTGAATCATGTAATGTATTTGCGCAACACATTTTGAACAATCTGATCACACACGGACTTGTCATTGGAATGTGTATATGTGAAATTAATAAACAGTTAATAGGTGAGAAAATAGACAAGGTAGGTCAAGTTAAAAGGACATACTGAAGGTCAAAATAAGAATAAGGATCACTAAACCAAAGAGCAGAGGTAATAGTACATCTACTATGGTATTAAAACAAAAATTTTTACCAAAGAAGGTTTAATGTGATGACGAATTGTTTTTGAACACATTAAGGTGGTTTAAGCTTCCTAATTTTCAGCCAGGGCTTCCACAAACTTTAGGATACGCCCCAAACACGTTTTAAAGATAGGTTTCAAAGGTCTGTTAACGTCAACTTTATGACCTGTCTCTATCATATGTTTCGCAATAGAGGAACTAGGTTTCTTGTTCTCACAATTAATAGGTTCTGAAGATTCCATTTGTTTCTGGAGTCACTTAGGAATTTGTTCTGAAACCCTTATTTGCAGATATCGATGAGTCCTTCCGATGTATATGTGTCCACACGTACATTCAAATTGTTAAATACAGTGGGATGTGACGTCAATATTTTATTTTCATCCTCTGTAACATCAGCTGTACAAATACACTGAACTCTCTTGAATAAGGAACTCACCAAATGTTAGATATTGCCCTGTCAAAGTAAACTTTCTATAAGCTGATCATTTTGTTGAACCACCACCTCTCCAACTCAGAAATATGTCTAAAAGTGTAAACTGATTGAGACATTTTTCGTCGCACTTAAGGCTTACATGATTTTGTACGGAACTGAGTGTTTCTAGTAGACGATTCACGTCTTCATGATCATGTAGGACTAGTGGTATCCCATTAGGCCATATCGTTGACATTGTCACTGTTAGGCACTTGATGTTATGCAACAAATTAGCTAAAGGAATTTTGTCAGACTGTGAGCACCCACTGTACTCACAACCCCAACCTTGTGTCTCCTCCTCAGGTAAAATAAGAAGCTTTTTCAGAAGACTTTATGCACGTACATCTAAGTATAAAAATTCCACCATACCATATTCGGCAGCGCGCACTTTTTGCGATGAAAATAGTGTCAGGCATGAACTAACTAACCTTCTTTGCACCACTGAATAAACCATTCCTCCACTCTTACACCATCAAACTTTATTGTTATTGTATTTCTTATATTTATAATCCTTGTAATCTTCGTTTTTATTTATTTATTTATTTTTCATAAGTGTGAACATCATTTAAGTTGTGTTACCACTGTTAATCTTGTATTTCCCCTCACTATACTACATTAACAGAACATTAGATTCAATAATCTATAAAATGCTAAAATTTCCAAACAAACTCACTATTATTATTATATTTAATACTCTCAGTTCGTGCTTCGAATATTTTTGACTTCATATCGTAAGCGTGGAGAAATTCCTCTGGTTACTTTTGTTTTAATTCTTAATTTTATTTATATTTTAAGTAAATCAAATGCAGTATTGTGACAAATGCTGAGAATTCCATTCTGTATGATAAGTAGTGCTGTTTTTGAAATAATGAACGTCATCACTCACTGAGAAATGCAGGTATATCCAGCTGACGAGTCCCAAATAGGACGAAATGCGCATCCTGGATTCCACTGCTAGTCACCATCCACCAATTGTATACTAGATTATTAATATTATTATCACATATCAAAATAATGTCATCTACATACCTTCTACAGAATAGCACTTCAGTAATTAAAGCAAAAGACAGGTTTTTAGTGTCAGATAATATAAACATCGAGTAACAAAGATCTTTCTAGACTCTCCATAACAATGCCATTCACTTATTACTGTTATTTGAAAACAACAAATGCTTTTTAAAAGTAACACAATCAATCAATGACATCAAAATTTCAAGATTTATATACGAATTGATTGTGAATAGGTTCCAGTTGAAAACTTGCATACATGTGACGATATGCATAAATGTAACATTCAGTTGGACACCTTTTTTCTAAAGTGAGTGATCATGAATAACAGTGACTTTACACTGATTAATGCTCAGAATTAATTAGTATTTAATTGGTGGATGGTGACTAGCAGTGGAATCCAGGATGCGCATTTCGTCCTATTTGGGACTCGTCAGCTGGATGTACCTGCATTTCTCAGTGAGTGATGATGTTCCCACCGAGGCTAGAACCCAGTACCCATAGTTTCAAACGCCAAAGCGTTATCCACTAGACCACTTGGGCCACGAGAGCCACCTCTTGTGCAACGGGTCATATTAATTTTATTGAATTTGAGATTTTCCCGTCGATTGATTGGACCGAAGTGCTCGGTCTCAGGTTGACATGTCGGCTTCTTGTACAGATGCTTCGACGATGTCTGGGCATTTAGTTAGTATTTAATCGGTGGATTAATGTCTATATTGAAGTGTATTCATACCGATGGTAAACTGCAGATGGATGAATGGTAAGATGAGAAAAAGTGAGAGAAAAAGGGGGTGATGGTCAGTGTGCAAGTTAATACCTAGGTTTAGATAAGAAAACAGTGGGTTTGTTTATACAAGTGTAATAATAAGCCAGAGAGGGGGGTTTAAGCAGGATGGAAGGTCATACATAAAAGGCATGACATAATACAGTACTTGTGAGTTTATAGATTCTACAGCAGGCCAGGGTAACAATAGTAGTTGGGCCTGTTTTATATGCACACAGAGCTCAGATTGTTTTAGGCGAATCGCAAAATCCTCAGCTGTTCAGCTATTTGTTCTAGATATATGTAGCTGAACTGGATAAGAGTTAAAAGTGATTTGATAAAAGATGGTATTACCTAGAGTCACTGACTACAGGTCTGCCTGATGTATTCGGGATGCCGAGAATTATTGCACACAGACTTCTGATGAAATGAGTCAAAAAAATCCACAATAACGTAAATAATTTGACATCTTATAAACATCTGGCGGTTGTCTAGTCATCTGTGAAGTGATAACTTCTCGGGTGACATACTAGAGCTGAATATTTATTAGCGACTTTACTATGATTTTGCTGAATCGTTGTGACGTTTATTCAAGATGGGAAGTGTTTTTTTCGCCCACAATTAACAGTTTATAACATGAACGAATGACCAATGGAAGCATATTACACTAAAAGGTAGTCACAAAACGCCTAAATGGTTTAAATCATACAAGAAACTTATCAGTTTTTATTTTGTTTTAGATTTGAATGGGACAAATCAACATTTACATCAGATTTACTCATTGAACCAATGAACGGATTCATTGGTCCTGGACTGGAAGTCCCATTCACTTTAACATTGAAACCGAACAAATTGACACGTGAGATACGAATGGAAGTAAGTAGATTTAAAGTATTATTTGAAATATCACCTGATGGTTTGCAAGGAATTGATTGTTTGCAGGATTGATCACGATTTGACATCAGATAGAGAACCATTTGAAAACCTGGGAATCCTGGACAGCTATTTTGCCCGTTGCACTAAATATACATGTATCACCGATTAGCAGAAGTCGGTTTTCATAGATCTTTGGACCGGGTTCTAGTGGCTTAATGATCTACGAGCTCGCTTTGCAACCGAAATGTCCTGGGTTTGAAACCAGATGGGTGTGAACTGATGAAGAGTCCCAGACTAGGACGGGGCGACTGTACAGTATTCCGAAGCTTTCCAATGGTTCTACAACTGATGTCAGGTAGTGCTCAATCCTCATTGAAATGTCACCATATCACAACTATGAAGTTTGTAATTTCTATAGTACACATCACATGTGGTCACTATTTATAATCGTTCAGGGATATTATATAATAGGAGCAACTGCCAGTGTTCAACCTAGAGTGTTTTTTTGGTTTAAGTTATTCTGTAGTTCCTCTCGATCATTTCTTATCATACCGAAAGGCCTGATCTCGGTCGATGTATCAACTTCGATGGTGTATGAAGGCTAACAAGGTGTTATTTAGCTGTCATCGGAAAGCTATGGAGGCCAGTACAAATGTTTTATCCGACTTGAAGTTTATTAGATAGATGTAGATGCGTCCTCAACGGGTAGCATAGTTAATGGCACTGTAGCATTTGAAACGATTGGTATTGGATTAGAATTCTAGTGGAGACATCACTGCTCACTGGAGACGTAATCGAGTTCAGATGACAAATCCCAAAAAGGAACAAGGCGCAACTTTTGGATTCTACTGCAAGCCAATGTGAGTCAATTAGTTGTATTCATCTTTTATGAAGACATAAGCGGGAAAATAGCGGTGAAAGCATCTTTTAGAATTGTCATATTTCCATTGGGAAGATATTAACAGAGAAAAATGTTTTCCTTAGTCTATCATGAAGGGGAAAATTTCACTGAAGATTATGTTACATACGTTTTCTGAAACTTTCCCAACAAATGTAAGCGCTTTAGGGAGAATAAATAACTTCAGCACTCTAACCAATATGGATAGATTAACTTAGTCAACAGAAAATGCCTTATGTAAATTAAATAATCACAATGATAGAGACTTTAGATGTTACAAATTTCCTGGAATAATCTAACCACCGAGTCGGACTGAATCATTATTAAACTAAATGATTTCTCAGAATAATCTAGCTGTAGAAATAAATAATTCATCTATAAACTTTCAATGCAGAATACCTTGATGCTGTAAATTCCACCTCTCAAAGGGTATGTAGCCTAAAAGTCACCTTTAAGCTACTAGAAAGAAGAGTCATTAAGCAGCGTAACATAATTAACACAACGGAGTACAGCTCAACTGAAATTGACTAGTCTCATAAAGAGTAGAAATGTTGTATCCGGAGAGGAAGGGGGTGGAGAAATATAGTATATTTAAGAAAAATGAAAAATTAGTACTGATAAATATTACATATCTACTTGTAAGACAATTTAGGTCCTTTGTAAGTTCAGTGAGTGACTGACCAAACTTCTGTATGCAGAGTTGAAGATTTAACATGTGGATTGTCATAACTTCTATAGTTTAGAGAAGTTTGATTCATAATGCTTTGGGAAGATTTTGGCCTACTCTGTACATGTATCCAAAGTTGGATTTTGAGTTCGCTCGGTGTGCCGAATCGGCTGCGTGTTCTAGAATAGCGCTGGTGGGTGTGAGGAGGTGATTTTTCTCTCTTTTGTAAAACAATCAGGATAGATGACCGATGATACATTTGGATAACAAAAGTCGAGTAAGGTCGACATACCTAGCCCCATGGGTGCAGGTGAAGGGATATATACCTGTAACAACAGAAGACAAGGGCAGGCGACACGTCGTTTTTATTACGGAAATCAGCACGTATTTATATATATTTCACATACATTATTATAGCCCATTCAAGTAGACAAACACAGTCTTCTGATTGGCTGTTTTCGGGTTTCTCGGAAAGTGAGGCCATCTATCTGCGAATCATATTTGCCCACGTTAAGTGTTGTGATTGGTTGTTGAATCAGCCTTGTTCATATTTTCTCACGGCCAATATTAGTGACCTAGACATTGACGTAGATTAATGTCTACCAATTGGCTAGCAGCCTTCTGTCACCACATACCTATTGGTGAGATCAGAAATGGCAATTTATCCTTCATGTTGTAATTCAGCTCAGAGGAAGATTTTACTCAAAGAATCGGGAAAATAGTTTCTTAATATTTCTTCTTCTAAGTCTCCATTAAATTACAGATTCAGATAGAGAAGTATTTTGATGGTGTAGGCTTCATGAAACTTGTTATGAAGCGTTCAGTGTATAAGTTTTCACTGAGGACATTTTTTTAGAGCATTTGGTGCCTCTTCCTTGAAGATGGAGGGGTTAAACGAAGTTTTTCTCTATTCAGAGATCTAGATTTTCTATTTCTATTGTTAAATCTTCAGCAGTAGAGATGAGTCGTGATTCGTTACCATGCAGGATAGTGTTCTTGCAACTTTTTGTACAAAATTCGAGTCGAACAACCGACACACCTAGCTCCACACGCACGGGGGAATTGATAAACTCAAATAGAGCTGTTCAGTTGACAGATCTTGTGCTTCAGTCTATTGAACAGTAATGTTAGACTAGAAAATGCTATTCTCAACGATGCAGCAGGAAATGTCACTTATAGGGACTGTGATACCCTTCTTTTAATGGTGCTGGCGGCTAAGTCACCATTGAGTTCCAAACACACGAACAGTATTTTCTTGGTTATGGTTGTTAAGTCGCACTTCATAGGATTTGATTGTATATTCTTGTCTTGTCCCATTTTCAAATGGGATTTTTCTCAAAAGATTTTGCCCTTCAACCACATCATCAGGACTCCATATAGGCCTAATGCAATTAGCAGGTAACCGCGACAGGTATCGGTTTTGACCGGTGGGTACCCAGATGTGGAAATTTGTCACCTGACCATTCCATGACAGCTTTCGATAAATCTATCTCTTCAGAATTCTTTCGGTTCTCCTTGATAAGTTCACATCGAGGAAATGAATACTAGACTCGTTTTCGATTTCGAGGGTGAATTCTATCGCTGGATGGCAACCCTTAAATGCCTTAATTATATACGACTTAAATTATAATCATTATCATAAACAATAAAGGTGTCATCTACATACCTTTAATACATTTAAAAACCTTGGATTGTTGACTTTATCATTATTAATATCAATCATGATTTCCTTGCATAGAATGTAACATGCAGAATTCAAGGAGCTGGACAAAAGACAATTACTATCACAGGAGCTTGTGTACCACCAACTATTATCAAAGAAGCACAACAATTCACAACAACAGTTAGACAATCCGATACTAAGAAATTACAAATTGCAAATCGTTCAAACACCGATTGGCAAATTAAGCCAGTCATCAGTGGCGAACAATGGTCTGGCTCAAAGATATTTGAAATACCAGCACAACAAACTGGAGTTTATGAACTGAATTATAAACCAGTTACTATGACAACAGATGGTGCAAAACATAAGGTAATATTTTACTGAGAGCATTTACTTACTTGTGTTAGCTGAATTGAGTACAAAAGCTTTGATTGGCATTTAATCGGTAGAAATTATTGAAATTTGGCTTACATGTTACATTGTATAAATTAGAATAGCAATATAAGTGCTTCTTCTGGATGATAGTATGTTTATATAAGCTCAGAATTCTCAACTATTTTTATCGTACAATATTTATTCCTCATATAAGATCTCCAGGTGAAATGCTAATCGACTGTCTACACAGAGATTTATCGCCCAGTGACGTTCTGGATCAACTTTGTTTGAGAAGTGCAAAGAATTTGTTTCAAGTTTGATCGCGAAATGACATCACAAAGAGAGCCGTCGAGAGCGAAGGAGTACTGGATAACTGTTTAGTATCGGTCTGAGACTCTTCACAGGACGCACTCACTGGGTTTCAAGTCCCTTAACTGCCGGTTACAAGGCAAGCCAGTGGACTGTCCGGTCAACAGGACCAAACTGAATGGTCAGCCCATGAATTCTAACTTCTATCAATCCGTAGTTTTAGCGCGACTATCAGCCAATGTCATTATCGGGTGTTTGTCCTCATTCCCGACCGGGTGGACCACACCGCTGATACTGCCTTGTGGTAGCGCTAGAAATCACGAATTGGCAGAAGTTAAAATTCATGGACTTGCTGTTCAGTTCGGTCTTGCTGGCTGAACAGTTTACGAGCTTCCCTTGTAACCCGAAGGTCCTGGGTTCGAACCGTGGCATACTGCTGGTGAGTCATAAATTAGGTCGAAATTGCTATCCAGCTGGTTTTCAGTGGTACTCTAACTGATACCAATCAGTGATCAAACTTGAAATAAATCAAATCCCACAGAATACCTCATGAAAACAGACTAACTTAGTTATACCCAAGATGTCTGAAGCATGAGGAAGTAACTTAATAGGCGTGAGCTGAGGTCATCATCCGTATTAAATTAGAATGACGTAATCAGGTAAGGTTAAAAGCCGAATTACCAAGGGAGAGAGAGAGAAAGACTTCTCACGACTCCCTTTTGAATAAATATACCAAATTCTAGCCATCTGTCACTGATATTGTCTGTGAACTACAAGAGGAGAACAAAAGAAAACACCTAGCCCAGCGAAGAGTCTCTTTTTAGCGACGAATTCATTCTCATAGCTGTGCAATAGCAATTAGGTATACTCGTTTGTGTGTGTGGGTGTATGGAAGAATAAAAATATTGGTTACAGGAATTCATCATGAGCTGACATCGGTTAGCCAATCATTGGAAAAGCCACGTGGCAGTACTGGGCAGCTGTTCTGTCAACCTAGTTTGGGACTCTTCAACAGCACGTACCCACTGAGACTCACGTTCACGACCTTCTGGTTACGGTTACAAGGCGAGCTCGTAGGCCATTAAGCCACTGGGACTCGACCCAATGGCCCATGAATTCCAACTTCTGCCAATTCCCGACACAGAATAAAAACAAGTCGGTGTTATTATTGTCAAGACATTTCAAACATTTGATGAGTAACCAAACTTTAACTAGGGGATGGAAGATTGGTAAGAGGGCAGTGGTGATGTGTTAACCAAAACATATTTATTAACACATAAAAGTAGTTGAATAATCGTAATAAAGTTACGTCATAAGATGAACAGTTTAATGAGTGAATTGTGATTAAGATGTACATAGAAAGAAAGGAAAATGTGGAACTACGTAAGAGTTCTAAAAATTGCGCATATTATAAGGTGTTAGAAAAAATACATAAAAAGCACACAAACATAAAGTTAGTTGAAGTCACCAAGACTGTTTGTTATCACGATAGTAGAAGTGATTGGACGATTTTCTTTTTTACCTATAACTCTGGTTTCTCTAACTGAATGAATGAAGCTTCAGAAATGCGAAGGAGACGAAAGTATGTTACCTTTGGTAGGTTGTTCTTGACTTTGTAGATCACTTTGAAGGAAGTGGCGTTTGTTGAGATGGAATGACCAGTGTTGACGAGATGTTCTATGTTCGCACTCTTAATACAGCCACTGTTATGTTTTCGTAGCTATGCGAGAGTGTTCTTGAACCCTTTTGGACAGAATACGCGTTGAACGACCAATGCACATTGCTGGCTTCACAAAAACAGGTGAATTGATATATGCACATAGAGGTGGTCAGAAGTGGGATCTTGTCCTTAAGGCATCTGCAGATCAATGGGAGACTGGAGAACACTACTTTTAACGTTGCTCAGAAGAATGTTCTTTTCAAAGATTTTGAAATTCTGCTCTTGAGGATATCACAAGCTAAGTCTCCTTTGAAACCCAGTAGCTTCCTTGGAACAAGTTATGTTACGTTCCCCTGCACTTTTAGTTTGATATACTTGTCGACGAATCTTGGCGGGTATCCATTTGTATTGAAGGTGTCTTTCAGAGAATCTGGAAGATTTGTAGCTCAGGTAGATGATTTTGATGTGGTAGGGTGATGAAAGCTTCGCAAATTAACCATCCAGCTCAGAGAACAAAACCACAACAAAATCTAGTTCTGTTTCCAGGGCGTCAATGCAGCAGATGCATCGGATCTTAGTGGCAAAAGATTTAATCAGATTTCGTTTCTTCTCAAAAGCTATCAGCTGTCAAAATTTGATGGTTGACAGTTCCAAGTCGGTTTTATATGGAGTGACCTTCTTAAGGTTCCATCATTTTGTCCTGTTAGTCGCGAATCAAGAAAGGGAATTTCGGAATAGCATTCCACTTCTAGAGTGAATTTTATTGTTGGATGACAGCTGTTAAATATTTATAGCAACTTATTATGGTCATAACTGTTGTATCAAACGATGAAAATATCAACTAAGTATCGTTTGTATAATTGCAAATTGTCAATGGACGACTCGACTGAGTTGTTTTTTCGGCCAGCCATGAACCAGTCTGCTGGTAATGGACCGAAATGAGAACCCATTGCAATACTGTCCTTTTGTCTGTAAATGGTGTCACTGAATTTAAATTGTACACTGAGAGTGCACCACAAAAGCAGTTTACAAAAGAGACATTCTAAAACCACTTAAGATTATTGATGTACACCTGAGTTCCAGTTTGTAACATTCCGTTGAAAATTCAGGTAACATGCATCCAGAAGAAACCAGCTGTAAGTGGTTTTCCAGTAGTCATGAAAGTCCTTCGAATTTCTTTAAGCCTTAAGGTTTCAGTGGATCAATGGGCGATTGGAAAACACTACTCTTAGCTTTTCTGAGAAGAATGTTATTTTCAAGGATGCTGAAATCCTTCTCTTCAGAATATCACCAGCTAAATTTCCCTTGAAATCCAGATTCATGTCAATTATTCATGAACTTCAAGAGACGTGAAGGTGCCTATTTGCTTACCATTTCATAATATCTACCTTGTGTGTCTTGTGTTAATCAATTGGATTGTAAAAGCATTCAAACATTTTCTACTAACTTTTATTTCAGGGTACAATATTCTTCCCATTACCTGATGGTACAGGATTATTATACAATTTGTTAGGTATATCTGAATCACCAAAATCAATGATGAGAATTAATCGTGAAATTGAATGTAAAAAATTACATACAGAAATTGTACAAATACCAAATTGGTTAAATAATCTGCAAAGATTTCGTGTCACTAAAGAAATTCTACGTCCAGATAAATCAGATTCAAGTACAACTATTCAAGGATTAAACTATATAGATGTACCAGCGGATTCTAGCAAAGAATATAAGCTGAGTATATTTACATATCGAGAAGGTCTTACACTTGTCAAGGTAAGCTAAGCATATCAAAACTTTGTTTAACTTATCCGGAAATTTACCTTCTATATTGGCTTGGATTCATACAATGTTAGGCTTTTTTAAAAAAACATCGATTGCGTCTCCTTTACAGTCGTTTTATTACTCATACTTTCCATTTTGAGTTGGATATAAAGTCATCGCTTCGGCGGCACAACGGTAGAATGCGCGCCAATCAGGCATGTGGTTCGGAGTTCGATCGTCAACGGTTGCACTCCGTTACCTGGCTAAATCAGTAATAAGACTGGTAAAGGGAGAAGGTTGGCCGTAAAAAACTAAACACCACTGCTACCGAAACTTCAAAGCTACAGAGTGAAGTCCTTGTGCTACATCTTTATACTACTCAGTCCTCTGATATCACTTTCATCTGGGTCGGTAATTGTCGAAAATATCTCGTTTCCTCTTGACACGATCATCTCCATGTTAGACTTGGATGTTGGTTTCCCCTTTGGTTCCATTTGACTTGTGATTGCGTGGTCACTTAAGCGTTTAGCCACTCTGTCTAGATTTCCTTGTGCATATCTGTTGGTATCTTCTAAACCAAAGTTAATTATTGTTATTCTTTTCTGGCCATATCATCTGGACTTGTTTTAATGTTTTTATTGACCGTACTAATATAAGCGAATCTGTACATAACTGCCGTTGAACTATTGTTATTTGATTTGGCAAAATTACATTGTTCCTGTCATTCTTCAAACATTCATAGTACATACTTCCTGTTGCTACAGGATTTCTTCTGAGTATTTCAGTGTACATTATGATTAATTAACTGTTTTTCAAAATAGAACTTTGCACAAATGTGCAACAAGCTGCCGCTCTCTATGTACCACACAAATCGAGAGAAGAGAGTAAATAGGGATTCAAAAAACACATGATAAATAGAGGTATGACAGAAACTAATAGTAATATGGAAGAACAGTAGAGTTGTATTGGATATGACAAATCCCAAAGAGTGAGTGCATCTGCACCATTACTGAGAACAATTTCGAACCATATATCCAAATGTCTCCAGAGGTCATTGGTTCTTACCATCCCGAAGACCATAACCAATCAGGAAGTCTGCACCTCCCTACATGGCTTGCTCAGATTGACTGCTAAAGACTATATGGACTGATGCCATGTTTTGGTTTGACCACCACTAACTCCTTTTCAACAGTGTCCTACATCAGCTAGCAGTGCCTGTTGCTGAGGGAGACTAAGGCTAGGCTAATATGTGCAGCAAATGTCCTAACCGTCTCAGTCGATGCAATTTGACAAACTTGTCGATTGGTTTTCCCTCTTTGCCCGCCACTCGATGTCTAACAGCTTCTATGTTACTCACCCTACTAACACTAAAAATAGAACTCTGACACCTTTGACGAAAGGCAGCTATCCACGCTTTTCATGTTTTCCATTTCGCAGCCATGAAGGAGGACGGAGCGAACAGACGAGGAGTACACGCGTCCTTTGGTTGACAACTGGTTATCACCTCTATACCAGAGACGGTATAACATGGGAACTACTGAACGAGCTGAGAATTCCTCAGCGACCAACCAGCGGCGGGGTGATGTGACTACCCAAATAAGTGGACGGTGACTACCAGTGTTATGTTTAAAGTAAACATATTTAATATAGAAGACTACATTCTACCACAGTGAACAAGTTCTGAACTTGCATTATTGTTACTATAGTATCATCATCATGGGTTCCTTTGGTGAACTAACACTATTTTCTAATTAGTGATGCAACTAGGGATGGACCAGAGTTAAAATTCATCTAAAAGATTTTCAATAACATCAATAGTCCACTAACCATTACTGAATATCATTGAAGATGGAGTTCTTGAAGCTTTGACGCCAAGTAGCGTTCAATCCAGCAAGTGAAATGCAATTGCATATACTGAATGATAAGTGACACTATCCTACAAACTGTCAGAAGTTGAAATTTACATATTTGCAGACAACAGGTGAATATGAAAGCATTTGTGTGCTTACATAAAAGTTTTTTTATCTTAATGATTCATGGAGTCATGGGTTCGCATGGGTTCCCTAAACATCCACGCAATAAGAGGAAACCTTTTTGTTCAGTGCTTCTCTTATCGATTTCGACTAGTGATCAGATGCACACGGAAAATAAAAAAAATTCAGGAAAACCATAAAAACCCTAAGAATAAGGAATTACCAAGATAGATGAGAGATGTAGAAGTTGCTTTGCTCTTTCAATGAAGCAGTTCAGTTTCCATTTTAGAAGTGACTGGTGATTTGTCACTATCCCTCACTCAGACATACACAGATAGTACTTACATTGTTGACCTAAAGTCTAATGTAACGATTAGCAGAAGAGGAACTTGTATTGTGATTATCAAAAATATTCATCCACTGTCACACATTTCAATATTCTTTTTCAGGTGACATTCACCAACGATACTACAGGGGAATATCAATTCTTTGAGATTAACTTCAAATCAGTGAGAAGTAGAAGTCTAGATATAATTAAAATGCAAACGCCAGTACGTAAACCTACCATATATACGCTGACATTGGAAAATCCTTTACCAATACCTGTTAACTTTCAGTTGAACACAAATATCCCTGAAGTTCAATGTCCAAGTCAACTACAAATTCCTGCAAATTGTGAAGTAAGTTGAGAAAGGGTAACTAAAGCCGAAATTCACTGTGGAAATTGTTAATGATAGTAATGAAAATATTGATCATTTCTATGCACATAGGTCTTAGAACATTCTGTAAACTGATTAGCCAGATAATTTTGAGAGTTGTTATTCGTTCAATGAGTTCTTCTCATTGCAAATCAGGAAGCTTTTATCTATACTATCGTATAATATTTTTAGCACCAAGTTAACTGGCGTCTGCTTACAATGAAAGGTTCTCACAGTGTCTTGTTGTTACAGTGTTTTGTCAATCTGAAATGTGTATCTCGGACACTAATTATATGTATGATTTAAGTACCACAATTTAGCGTTCTACATAAAGTAAACTAGAATTTCTCTCCACCTAGTTGTCAAATCAAAGTTAAGTGATCGTTGATCCAAATGGGCTATCCTAGTAGATTTGTAAGGAGATAAATGAACAACAGGTTCAATAAAGAAAAACTGACAACAGTTAATAAAAAGAAACAACTGTTCATGAGATTGCAATTTAATGGGGACGTGGTTAGTGAAGTCTTACATCTGAGATTATCGAGAGCGATAAAACGGACTTGTACTGCTGCCACCCTTTGTTTGTCATTTTCCAGCCGGTCAATTATGATTGCTCAAGTAAAAGACAAGCTACCTAGCTGTGCCACTTCTATGTTTATCTATAAATTTAGTTGCTCCTGTGGAGAGAGCTATATATGCCGAACAACTAGACAGCTTAACAAACGCATTAATGAACATCTTCCTTCATGGTTCAGAAAAGGTCAAATAAAATCTATAAGAAGTTCTATTTTGGCTCATTCGATTGATAGCGGTCACCAAGTGGACAAAAGTAGTGCCTTCAAAGTTATCTATCGCATTCCATCGAGTCTTTCGAACAAAATCCAAACCCGTCTTTAACACATAGCCGAAGCTATGGGAATTAATTCGAGAGAACAATCCTAGTCTTTGCATACAGCAAAAGAAGTTTGTTCAAATAAAGTATAATTATATTTCAATAATTTACACACAATGATAAGTTTTGTTATTGGTAATATTTCGAGCAAAATTACTGCCCGTGTTCACACCACTGTTGGAATTGCATAGAGGATTTAATCACGAGCTGACATCAGTTAGAGAACCATTGGAAAACCTGGGAGTACTGGACAGCTGTTTCGTCCTAGTTTGGGACTCTTCAGCGGTACGCGCCCAAAGGGGTTCGAACCCAGGACCTTCTGGTTACAAGGCGAGCTCGTAGACCATTGAGCCACTGGGACCCGATCCAATGGTCCCTGAATTCTAACTTCTGCAAATTCACGACATAGCGCGACCACCTCGCAATGTCTTCTTCGATGAGTTACTGCCTCATCTTCAACCTGCTGTACCCCACTGGTCACGGCTTCCCACTAGAACACCAGGTGACTACCTACCTGAATAGGACTAGTTGCTAGAGAGCATCAGATTAATTTTCAAGTATTGGTTTTGAAGGGATTTTGTTTGATTGCATGGAGGATTTAATCATGAGCTGATCAAAATCCCTACAAAACCAATGCTGTTAAAATTGTTTTATTCCTACAATTCCAACAGTGGTGTGAACACGGGCAATAATTTTGCTAGAAATATTACCAATAACAAAACTTATGATTGTGTGTAAACTATTGAAATATGTAATTATACTTTATTTGATCTAATCCACAATGCTCAAACTTTTTACTGATATGAAAGTTTGTTCTATCTTTGTCTCCCCCTTGGCCTAGGTGAATTCTATTCAAAACCCTCCCACCCTTTCTTATTTTCCATCTCCTTCGTACTTTTATGATATTTATTTAAACTCTGATTATCTGACCGCTTCACCTTTTAAGATTTGACCTAATTTATTTATTTATTGAATTGTCTACATATACACACAAATTACTGCCTTCGTTGTTCTTATCGTAAATTGCATAAACCTTATCATCATTATTTTTGTTATCATTATAAGCATCGCTACTAATTACGTTCACAATATTTACCACATTATTATTATTGTTATCATTATTATCATTATTATTATTTGACCCCCAAAATCACCGTCATCGGCTAAAATTTTTTACATATAAATCCATGTAATTTTCAAGTATTGATTTTGTAGGGATTTGGTTTGATTGTATGGAGGATTTAATCATGAGCTGATATCAGTTAGAGAACCACTGGAAAACTTGGGAGTACTGGACAGCTGTTTCGTCCTAGTTTGGGACTCCTCAGCAGCACGCATCAACCGGGGTTCGAACCCAGTACTCCCAGGTTTTCCAGTGGTTCTCTAACTGATATCAGCTCATGATTAAATCCTCCATACAATCAAATCCATGTAAATTAGAGTAAAGCCTGAAGAAGATCTAATTGAAAACAATATTGTTCGCTTATATGTCTTGTTCTAAAGTTAAGTGAGGCTACGTGAAATAATCGACCAACCCACCATCAACTCAGTACCTACCCCTCTCCGTCTGTCTGTCTGTCTGTTTTCGACATAGAACTTTGCACAAATGTGCGGAAGTTCAAGTCGCCACACTCCGTGTAGCACGCGAAGCAAGAGAAGAAAGTACAAGAAAAGCATAATACAGACAGTGAGCAGAGGTGTGAGACAAAGGAGTAATAAAGAAAAACAAAGCAGTTTCATTGGAGATCATAAGTCACAAGGAGTGGAAGCATCTGCGCCACTGAGAACGATTTTGAGCCATGTCACCAATTGTTTCCAACCATAGAGTTTTACCGTCCCGAGGACCCCAGCCTGGAAGTCTACACCTTCCTACGTGGCTTAGACCAACTGTCGTGGATTTCATTGACTGGTGCCAAGTTTTTGTTTGACTGCCGTCTAAATTAGTACGACTGGATTTAACAGGAGAAGACCTTGGTGGACAGCCAGTATGATTATAAACGTAGAGAAGTTTGATAATTGTTCTAGTGACATTGAAATTATGACCTAGTTAGAGAAGCCGGACTACATAAATCAGCTGGTAGAGGATACCGGATTAGTAATTCGGTGACCTCCTTTTCAGATCATGTGACGACCAATCCTCTCACCTCATCTTCAGTCACCACCCGCTACATTTAAAGTTATATTCGACCTTATTTGTTATTAGGATGAATTCTGACTTGATATATGTTACAAATAGAAGTTTATAATAATGTTATCTTACTATGCATCAGAAACTATATTGTTTTTCAAGGTCAAGTAGGAATACTGTAAACTAATTATTATTACTATGAATACTGCTCAGCACTAAAATTCGAATTACTGTTTTATAAACTTTCCTTAAAACAACTTATGCCATTCTTGATAACTTGTCTTCTTCCAGGGGAATGTTACACTGGAATATTTACCCATAAAAGTTGGTCAAAGCACTGGGAAATTTGAAGCAACTTGCAACGAGTTAGGCTTATTCAGTTATGAATTAGACTTGCAAGCTACACCATCAGGATTTGAATCTACACTACACTTTCGAACAAATATTGGACAACGACATTGTCAAATGGTGAAGTTTACAAATATGACAAAGAATAAAACTGAATTCATTGCGAATGTAAGTTGTCTTTCGTGGTTAGTTTGAAGTGTAAAATCCCCAGTTATAAACATCATTTGTGTTAATTCACTTTAGAGTCGGTTCTTTTCTAACGTTACCTACAGTTTAATTATAACACATTGATTTACAGATTTCCTCTCCCGAAGTAAGGCTGTAAAGATGAGCTGCAGAGATATCTGCGAGTAGTTTTCCACATATCTGTGAAACTTCTTCGTTTTTGACATCCGTTTATAGCTGTTCTAATGTCAGTTGAACTAATTCGTTAGCGAATCTACTTGGTGAAACACAATCGATCAGTGATGTAATTTAACATACTTACTTATCTGACTCCTTTGTGCCCTCAGTGGAAAATGGGTTTTCAACCCAGAACTCTGAAGTTTGCAGTGGCAGTGACATTTTTAGGAGATGGGATTTCTAGCCATGCACTCAACCTCTTTTCTTTACCGGTGAGATAAAGGAGCGAGTCAGCCGGAAATCGTACCCTAAACCACTCGCATGGTTGGCGACTGTTCTATCACTAAACCACTGACACATAATGGATTATAATGATAATGTCCAAATCGCGAGTTTAATTTCACTGCAGACTCCTATCAGCCGACATAAAACCAATAAATCCATCAATGATCTGTGTGACTACTGTGAAGTCATGAGGCAGGTAGCGTACTGTTCAGAAAACGGATGCTTAGCCTATTATTTCCAACTCCTTGATAAATTCCATATCAGTTTGCTTATTAGATATATCACACAGTGAGCGAAACAGTATTATCTACTGGATAACGTTCCGAACAGAATTTATTGCTGTTCATAATCGTATCAATTGTAATTACACAACTTCGAAATTTGAGTTTTATGGTTTTCTTTGTGCTCTACTATTTGTCGTATGGGTGGTAGAATTTTCCAGATATCTGGATGGACAGGTGTTTTCATTCAGTTGATTCGATAAACAAAGCTTCTGTTATCAATCTCTCCCTCCACGCTGTGACATTAGATTTTAAACCTGTCATCTTTTCCCATCAGCCTATTGTGTGGTTGTGTGTAATTGCATGTAGTGAGTGGTATAGCTGAACTATTCTCTAGATTTCTTATCGTATTCGGGTCAACTAATCCATATTTTGTTAGGACTTCATGCTCCACTGGTCTGACTGTCCCTGTCCTACTACTTTTACCTATGTATTTCACCTAGCAATCATTCCAGCAGTCAGAGTATTAGATACACTAAATTGTTTTGTTTTATTGGCTTCACAGGGCTGATCTTTTAACCGATAAAGCTTGTTTCTAATTGAGTTTGTGGTTGGTTTGAATGCCAGTCACTTTTATTCCTGCATGCCTTATTAAGAATTCTTCGTAAGGTGATTTCCAAGGTTCCTTCCTTATATAGAATTACTACTGGTGATTTAGATTCCTTATTGTTGGTATTGTCATTATCTTGCGTATGTCTGACATGCATGTCGTCATTAATATTACTATTGTCATTAACACTATCACTACTATCATTATTTTAAAATGAATAATAAATAAATAATAAATAATACTGTTTCATTATGTGATATATCTAATAAACAAACCAATATGGAATTACTTACTACCACAGTGCCCAAGTTTACACATATATTAATCCTGCAAAATTCATTCATAATATTTAATGTCGATTTCTGGACTACATAAATCTATGTACATTCAGTAATTGAAATACGCAACATATTCAAAGTATGTTCTATGACCTAGTAGTAAAATAAATGACCATTTATCAATTCATCTTATGATGTTACATGTTGACTGAAATGACCAAAAGCCAAGTAATTTTCGTCTGCGTTCTTATGTTTTAGTCACCAAATTTCAGTGAATAACTCACAGTCCTGAAAATGTAAAGACGTTGGTAAGAAGATAGTGAGATGTGATAAAATCTGTGGTACCGTCAAATAAAAATAACATATCGAAAACACAAAGCTACCTCAACAGTGCCGTTAGGCAGCTATAACATGCAAAAGTTTGTCAGGCACCAAATACTTACTGAGAAAAAACAGAATATTTCCCAACAAGTTGTGATCAAAGTTCTATCACCAAGAATCAAACACACCTAACATGTTTTCTGTTGACTGTCCAAGGTCAAAGAATCCTCACGGAGTAACCTTTTATTCATTCAAACAGAATCGCAATCGTAAAGCAACACATTCCTATGAACACTGCGGAATAACGTAATATTAAAGTGAGGCATTTAGAATAGGAACCAATAATAAGGACCACATCGAATGTAAACGTTGGAACAGTGACATTCAGGTCAAGCGAAAAGCCATAATAATTGCTCACTTCATTGAAAAGTTGAATTCATTATAAGTAATCTCGGATGTCCAAATGTTTAGATTTTGTACATATCTAGTACGCTAATTAATGACTATTCTTCCAATTTGTAGATTGATCATTGTGACTTCCACTGTGAAAAACAAGTCAGTGTAGCGGCTGGAGTTGATGCCACCCTTGAGGTTATTTTTGAACCAACCAGTATAGGCAGTGGAGTGGCTACACTGACAATTACAAGTACACATGCTGGTGAATACAATTTCCTGCTTAAAGGTACAGCGCTGCCACCACAACCTCAAGGTCCTATCATGATAAAAGCTGGTGAAACAAAACACATCGTCTTTCGCAATGTCTTTCCTACACCAATTCTCTACTCATTTCAGGTAGGTTTAAGCATTCCCTCTCTAAAATTATTATTTCGTATTCACGATCCCGTATATGTGTTGCACTGCACAGTCAACCTGTCATTCTATATCAGATCATAACAAAGCTGGAGAGAATATAAGAAAAGGATAACGGCAGTACTACTCTATAAACTCATATTCTGTAAATAGCCGGATAATTTACCCTAATCTTTAGGTTGAATTGTCCATAGTTGAAAATTTACAAGATCGAGAGTCTTGACAAACAACTGAGAATCAAACCACCGCTTAGATTATACTTTAAGGAAGGAATTTCTTCAAGTTCACAAGATAAATATATTTCACTGCAGGAGTGGAGTCCTTCAGCGTAAAGTTTTTGTCATTTGGAAGGGTGAAATATGTGGGTCGTATGTTGCTAGTATATTCCGTTCAGATATACTACGCTTTACAAACACTAACTAGACAGTTCACGACAAACACCACTCTACATAGAAATAAGATAGTTCCTTAGACTGTATAGTATGGCTTGTCTTTAAGCTGAAGAGTCGATATTGAGTGCTGAAGTATTTCGAATATAAGTTGTACCATTAAATGGTTGAAGGCGATCGGAAGGAAGCCTGTGACACAAGTTTCGTGCTTGTAGGCTCTCACCAGTCAGTAAGGCGTATCTGCAAATTTGAAGAAACTCATTTCCCACTTGAGATTTGAAGCCGTGTTAGCCATTGATGTAGTCAGCGATGTTACCACGGAGATCTTCAGGCTCGCATCTGACTTCATGCAGGACTCTGTTAGATACTCTGATTCAACACCAATTAGTAATTAGAATCATGCTTTTAGTCCTTTGTTTGGTGTGGACTGAATTCTATCAGTTAAGTTTGCAATATGGTTACCATCCTAGTTGGCTCGCTATCTCAGTTCGCTTTGAATGGTTGTTATTATTGATGACCACATCGCATCTCTGACTGATAGAATTCAGTTGACATCAAAAACTACGTGGTATGATAGAGGTTAAAACGTATTAGAGCGAAAATGGAAACCGCAATGTGAGCTCAGTTATTAGTGATATCAATATCGCCTATGGATTCAGACAGTGTCTCAATTTCAATACAGCTAATGGTTCATCAGCATTTCCGCTCCCACGACACTCACCACTCATCAGTCTGTTCATCTAATCTCACCTACGATTGGTGTTTATTATACTTAAACACATCCTTATCGACAGGACATCACACAGTAGTAATCCTACCTATAAACAAATTATGGCATCATTCTATTGCATTCCTAAGCACTGAACGGCTTCAAAGATGCTACAGTGAATGCGTTTCCATTCAGAACACACAATCCAGTGGTTGTATTCAGTTTATCAATATATGCTAGAATGTGCATCTCCCTTCTTATGGGCTCTTTCTCTAGTCACTCCAACCATATCTTGTCTAGGCCGATATCTTTAGGACGAGTCAAAACACTAACGTGTTCTAGATTGTCATCATTGCAGTTTAAATAAATGTGGGAGTGAGTGTGCTCCCAGTACATGCAGAGTTACGTCTACCAAAGAATTGGGAAATTTTAACTGTATCACTGAGAATTTTAATGTAAGAACTATGATTACTCAAAACTACTCAGCTCATGCACGAAACTAATCATAGAATTCAATTCTCTTCCACTTCTAGGTTGATAATACCGTGTTCAACCTGCCGAAACAAAGTGAAATTATTCGACCAAATAAAGAATTTCGAATACCAATCGGTCTTGATGATAATGTGACCAGATCACCAGTGACAGGTAAACTAGTTGTAACTGCAGTACGTGCTCAATCGAGTGCACGAATAACTCGGAAAGGGCAAACAACAGGTACAGCTGTAGATGGCGCTTATTCCTCTTCTCCATCGTCCACATCATCACCACAACAGCAGCAACAAACGGCATCATCACCAGACATAAGATCTACAGAAAAGGGTGAAGGATTTCAATGGGTGTATTACCTTCGTGGTGTTATGTCATGAAGAAATTTCAAATAGATACGAATGGAATCATTTTCAATTTGAATCATTGATATTTATAATTTCTGATTTGTAATAAAACGTGGAGTCTGTTTACAATGATTTATTATCTTACAGACGCCTTCTATGCTTAATATTTGTAGATATGCAGAAAGTGTTAGTGCACAGTGTAACATTGTTGTATAGCAGTCTAACTGACTAAAACTCGTTTCTGCACATTGAGTTAGAATGAGTAATATGGAAACGAAAAGGGTGACAGTCACAACTAGAAATCGTAAACTACATTGAGAGAAAAGTCGAGGAGAGTTAGAGAAAGACATGGAAGTGATATTTTATAAGAAGATGTGAGGGTAAATCGTCAAATATATCTAAATCATAGCGATTGACGCTTAGCTGTTGGTTGGAAAATCGACTCCAATCATCTACATAGTTAAAGCTAATAGTCGGACACTTCATGCGTGTTTGTGTCGTATAGTATGTAAAATATACAATGACAGGAATGAGGTCTCCATTTGGAGTATAATATTGACGATCAGGCGGGGCAGATTGTTTATTTTTTATGTAATCAACCATCTTTTACTGCACGTACAAAATAATTTAACATTAAAACGGAAATAGGAGAGGCAAGTTCAAAGACAGTTGAGCTTACAGAAAGTGTGTAGCGTAACTGACACGAATGTAGTTTCTGTAAATGTCTGATAGTGATAGTGCATTCACTTGCTGATGTGATTTTAATATCGCGACTGCCAAGAAGTTATCTAGGTATTGGTACTATTCCAGTAGGAGTATATTCTATTCCGTAGTGCCACATCAATAATCGCGTCAGCGGCACAGAGGTAGAATACTTGCCAACCACACATGTAGTCTCGGGTTTAGTCACCAGCTAACCACCTGCTTTATCTTTTTAAGCCAGTAAGAAGACTGGTAAGGAGGTAAGGTTGGCTATTAGACTAACAATCCCATCCAGTAAAAATAAATACCACTACTCGCGAAACTTCAAGCCAATAACTTGAATGAAGCCTTATGTTCCACTCGAGGGCCTGATGCGCGATGTCACCCAGCGGCCTCCTCAGCGACTGTCGAATCCATCTCCACTTTCTACTGCATATTTTTTGGGCGATTGGTTCTTGTTTTGTTTGTTTGTTCCCATAGTTTCTTGTTGGTGATTCTTTCCGGCCTGGTGATCTGATATTCAGTATAGATCCAGCGAAGACAGTTGTGGATAAAGGTCTTTGTGATCCACCGTTTCTGATCCGTATAGAAGAACTGACTGACTTGACCACGTTTGTATTGAAAATCCGACCGAATTTTGTTGTTGATACTGAGTGATGAAGATTTCCAGATTGGTTTCAGGTTGATGAATGTGTTTCTCTCTCGCCTTCCTGATTCTCGCTCGATCTGACATCCTCGTTCGTTCCTCCTGTAGTTGAGACAATGCTCCCTCCCTAGACAAGTGAGTGAATGAAGAAACCTCTTTCAAATCCCTCCCGTTGATAGTGACTCCTGTGTTTACTCCAAACGCCTCACTGAGTTTTCCGTTGTGGATCACATGTGGTGTTGTCGTACAGTAGCTGTTGAATAAGGTTGATGAATATTTGGGGTACGCCGTAGAACTCGAGTAGTTCTCAAACTACTTCGCGGTTAACGCTGTTGAAGGCCTTTTCAAAGTCTATAAAGTTGAGGTAGAGGTTTGATTGCCATTCCATGGTTTGTTCTGTGATGATGATGCGAAGAGTTGCAATTTGGTCAGAACATGATTTGCCTTTCCTGAATCCAGCTTGTTCTGGTGGCCAACATCGAATAGTATAGAGGTTTATAGAAGAGCTCTCCTAACACATTCAAACATGTGTCCAAATTTGAAGTTATTTAGAGACCTAATCGACTATACCTTCATTGTATCGCATAGATATGAATGGACGAGGTGACATCCAATGTGGTCAAAACCACTTTTCAATTTAAAGGACCGTACAAGTAGAATGAATCATATGAACTGTGATCAAGATATGACCAAATAATTCTAAAATAACTGGGCGCCATTTGAGAAGTAGATGTATGTAAAAATTGTATTTGGAAAATCTGGGTCAAATTGAAATGAGTAATTTCAATATATTTCATTCGGCAAACTGGTAGAATACTGTGAAGATTCATCGGTTGGGGCAGCTAAGACACGTGTTTCACATGCCAAACTATCGTCATCCTACCTCGTCCACTAATGTCAGTTAATACTGGATCCAGTTAGAAAGGAGTTAGGCGTGGACAAATCAAAACACAGTAGTAATCATGAAGTTCTTGAGCACTGGTTTGAGCCACACACACAGAGATGTAGACTGTCTGATTGGAGACATCCAGATGATAAATGTCAGAGGCTGGGGACTGTTTTTTTAATGCAACTGAAAATCGTTCTCAGTGACGTAGATGCATTCACCTCATCTGAACTAATCCCAGATAAACTAAATTCTCATTACTCTTCATTTAGTTATTTTTTCTTTCGTATATTCCCATCAGTTATCATTTCACTGCATGGCTTCCTCTTCTTTGTCTCCCTGTGAGTGTGCTTAATTGAAGTGTAACATTTTCGCCCAAACTTATCTGTCAAAAATTCATCTCCACCTTAATGTTCGGGAGATTTACATGTCGTGTACTGTTTAGGTAATAATAAAACTGCCATGTTAGTAGGTCTACAGAAAAGTTGTCTTACAATGGACTACGAGAGTATGTTTCTTCTTCTTCATAAAGTCAAGATTAAAGATTTTTTAAAATATTAATTGGAAAGTGTCAGGAAATAGTGTCATTGGAGATTTCATAACGAAACGAAATCAAACAGTCAATCTCACCTTTAGGCATAAATCTAACCTAAACAAACTGGTTAGCACTCATGAGGTCTGCAACATAGATGAATGGCACTGAAATAGAAACCAAGTCGGAAATTAAATACCTAGGCGTCGTCCTTCTATCTGCTGATCTTTCCTGATCATCCCATATTTTCATGATTTCTGATAAAATATTCCGTCTGACCTTCTACATCAGGGAGTTAAGACATTCTGGAATAACCCAACCCTTACTCCTACGATTCGTTAACACTCGCATCCTGCCTATTATTCTCTATTGTTCCCCCTTAGTTTTTCCTGGGCTACTGAAGAAGGACTATGCCTTATTACGCAGGATGTTAAAGGTTGTCAGCAGGGTGAGCAGCGTGCCACTTAACCAGCTTGTTAATATTCTGGTTGACAGGCACATGGACTCCTCATGTGACAAATGGGCTAAATACATTCTATCTAACTCACAACACCCTCTTCATTCACAACTCTCCGCTTGTATCTCATCAGGCAGGCAAAACCAGAAGCCTATATAGAAAACTATATGCTCACACTAGTAAGTGCAAAAAATCAACTCAACCATACCCTACTTAGGTCGTGTTCTGTGCGATAAAGAAAGCATTAGGTGTGACACTTATAAATTATTAAATAGTCAGTAGAACAACTGGATCTCGTCTTTCCGACTCATATCATTTACAGGTACAACGCTTTCTTTCTTTCCTTTATTTTTCTCTCTTCCTTTTTTTCTCTGTTATGTACTCCTTTGTTTCTTTCTTCCTTACTAACTTTATTAAAACATTCTTCGTTCTCTCACACTCTGTATATTTCGACTTTTTGTTACCGCTCACGCCAGTAAATATGCTAGAACCTACTTTTCTAGCACCTTCAAACACTCTGCTTAATCTTGGCTTTGCTACCAATATGCTAATATGTTGTTGTCATAATAAACTGAGATCACCCTTAATCTGTGTAGAATTTTATTTATTGATAATGTACTAAGTGGATGCAATACTGTAGTAAAGTGCTGAGAATTCCATTCAGTATCACAAGTACTGTTTTGGAACAAAGCAAATTATTATCATTTATGTAATTATATGACAGCAAGGATCACTAGACACTTGTTTCATCCTATTGTAGAACATATCAGAATAGTCCATTGATAACCACAGGAAGAAGTGGACTGACTACTGTCAAGTTACAAGAACACGGTTTATTTTAATCTCAACCAGATTCATGGTTCTATTATAAATTGTCAGTGGACAGACAATACATCCACATTCATTTGAAAGCAGAAATAGAATTTCACACAATCACTTCAAGAAAATTTATATTTGACTGCGTACATGATTGAGTCTAAACATTATATCTTCAGATTCTAATATCAAGAAATCAGTTCATAATGCTGAAATAACCTCTATCCCATTCACTACTGAATTACAAATTATTATTATTATTATTATTGTATCCTTTAGTTCCTAGAGGAACATAGGGCTTCAGCTGCGCACCTCCATTGCCTTCGGTTTTCTGACAACTTTTTCACCCTGCTCCAGGTCTGTCCACATGCTTTCATCTCCTCCTCGCATGACCTCCTCCAAGTCACCCTTGGACGACCAACTCGCCGCCTCCCTTTCGGGTTCCACTCGAGGGCTTGTCTAGTGATGTCACTTGATGGTTTCCTCAGCGTATGCCCAATCCATCTCCATTTCTTTCTGCCTATTTGTTTCACAATCGGTTCCTGATTGGTTCGCTCCCAGAGATCCCTGTTGCTGATCTTTTCTGGCCATCTGATCTTGAGTATTGAGCGGAGACAGTTGTTAATGAAGGTTTGAAGTTTGTTTGAGATGCTCTTTATGACTCGCCAAGTCTCTGATCCGTATAGTAGCACTGACTTTACATTGGAGTTGAAAATCCGGATCTTATTTTTGACGCTGAGTGCTGTTGACCTTCACACAGATTCGAGAGTAATGAAAGCTTGTCTTGCTTTTCCGATTCTGGCTTTGATGTCCTCGTCAGTTCCACCTGTAGTTGAGACGATGCTTCCCAGGTAGGTGAAGGAGGTTGTTTCTTTCAGGTTCTTCCCACTTATGCTGATTGTTGTCTGTTGTTGTTGTTGCTGTTGGTGTTGCCTAGGAATCTTCATCATTTCTATTTTCTGTGTTCACCTGAAGTCCTGTCTTTGATGCTTCTTCTGCCAACTTGTTACTTTTCACTTGCATATCTTCCAGTTTGTGGGAAATCAGACATATATCATCGGCGAAATCCAGATCCTCCAGGTCTTTTGTGTTATTAAAGATGAA